TTAAGGGAAGAGCCAAATCTTGACGTGCTTGCATTACTAGTAATAATGATTTTATAATTTTGAAACCAATATTCAATTATTATTTGTTAGTCAATTAAAAATATTCGGAATAGGGAACAGAGTCTGGACAAAGGGGGACAGTAATGAAGAATTTTTGGACTCAGTTTCCTGGCTTTGAGTACAAAGTGGAAGATCCTATCATTTTAATATTCTAAAGCCAGACCTGTTAAAAAAAAAAAAAAAAAAAAACCCTCCCCTCATAGCTGCTGGGCTGCTGCTGGCTGGAGGCCTTGATGCTGCTTTCTGCCAGGGCAGGGCTGTTTGCTCTGGGAGAACTAGTCCAACACAGGAAGACTTGCTCTGGACCAGATAAGGAGAAGAAACATCTCTTTTCTTCTGTCACCTTAATTGGGACAGAGGAATCTGTTTGGACCCAAGGCTGTCAGAGCATCACATCTGTGGTGTGTGACTGTGGGTCAGCTAGGATTTGCTCCTTTAGTCAGCCTCTAATTGGCTTCCTCATCAAGACTCTGTTTATATTAAGACCATATATCTTAAAACAGTAAAAAACAAAAGAAAATCCATGCAATTAATGTAATCAGTTGTAGAGCTAGTCTAGTTAGGAGAAATGTAAGTGCAACAAGAACCTTGACAGGATTGTTTGCCTTGCTTTCCTAAGATTTATGATTGTAATACTGATGTGTAAAATAAATACAGAACTAGTCTGTGGCTAAAATCTGTGTGGATAATGTAGAAATATGTAGAAGAAATGTTAGCATTTCTAGACAAGGTTCACATATCAGGTCCATAACTCTCTATTACATTGAAAGTTAAAACTCTTAAAATAGAAAGAGAGAAGAACTCAAAGCTATATCTTGTGAGTTATTTACACAATGGAGAGCAAACCATGAAACCCTTTGTTGCTGTAACAATTTTGATGAATTTATGATATGGCTGATCTATCAGTTATGGAAAATTGATTTGAGTGAATTCAAGTCAGGTTGTCACCTTATTGTTTGGGGTTTTTTTTTTTTTTTTTTTGGCTAGGGTTTGAACCTGCCACTTCTGGCATATGGGGCCAGTGCCCTACTCTTTTGAGCCACAGGTCCCGCCCTATCACCTTATTGCTTAACCCTGGAACTTAATATGTTAGCTTCAAGAATCCACATGATGTGCCCTGATTAATTTTTTGTCAATATTTTTTCCCCAAAGAACATTTTATTGAGCAGAAAGGAACAGATTAGAATATAGAAATATATGAAAGAATCCGATCCTAAAGAACATTTTTCAAGCTATGTCTCTTGAACTAATGACCTTCTCTAGTCTAGAAAAAGTTATGTTTTCCTCACTGGAAACAGAATGCTCCCTTCTACAGAGATTGCAAGAAACATACTGACCAAGCCTAATTCTTTTTTCACTAATTTCTAGATTTCATGCAGTCTACCATCCTTCAATTATGACATTGTGTTGGGCACTTAAAATTAAAGTGATCATAACTTATCTGAATTACAAGTAGGGTATAAGAAGATAATCTCTAAATTTGTTTCCAGGATTTAAGATTTCATCAATGACTTCTTTATTCCTCTGCCCTAGGAATCTTCTTTGTCTTATGGCTTAGCCTTGGCGTGTCAAACACATTTCAATAAAATCAAAAGCCTTCTGTTTATTTATTTATGTTTTTAGAAATGGAGTCTTGCTCTGTCTCCCAAGCTGGAGTGTACTGATGAGATCATAGCTCACTCTAACCTCAAATTCCTGGGCTTAAGCAATCCTCCTGTTTTAGCTCTTGAATAGTTAGGACTACATGCACAGACCACTGACTCGTTTTTTTCTTTTTTTAATTGTTTGTAAAGGCAGGTGTCACTATGTTGCCCAGAGCAGTCTAGAACTCCTGGCCTGAAGCATTCTCCCACTTCAGCCTTCCAAAGTGCTGTGATTATAGGCATGAAGCCTTCTGTCTTGACCATCAACCACTGCAAGGAGGATCACTGTCAAGATCCTAAAACAAGAAATTTTTTCTACAGAGCATGATTAAATTTTACTTAAAGGAAATTTAAAAAATGATATGAAGTCAGAACAATAATAAATTTATAATCATATCTATGGAACTTTTCAGAAGTCTCTTTTAATTACTTGAAAAGCTAGAATAATATAATATCATTATGAAGGAGTAAATAATAACTAACATTGTCTTCACTATAAAAAACAAGAATTAAAAGGCAAAGATTAAGCAAGATATAGTTGTTTATGTATTGCTTGGCTATTTAGCTAGTAAACTGCTGAAACACCTTGTTACTTAAGAACAAAAACATATACTATCCTATCAATTAACTTAAATTGCATATGAAAATACATATAGGCAAACTAATATTTTTAATTTACAGTATGCCCAAGACATAAATGAGAATTGGCCATAAAAATCTCTGAATCTCAGATGTTGAGATGAAGGCAAAGTAGAAATTTCTTTGGTTCTTTTCTTAAGGCCCTACATTCAAAGCTGGATAGGTACAGCCTATATCTTTCTGGAAACTTTTTTTTTTCTAAGTGATAGGTAATTTTTAATGTCTGAAATTTTATATACTTTTAAAAGAACAACTTTAGGTATTTTATAATAAATCATGCAAACTCTTTCTTTCTTTCTTTTTTTTTTTTTGAGACAGAATCTCAATCTGTCATCCTGGGTAGACCATGTCAGCTCACAGCAACCTCAAACTCTTCAGCTGAAATTTTATATACTTTTAAAAGAATAATTTTATCACCTCTTTTGGTGTTGAAATTCTTGATTCTCTTGCTTCAGCCTCCCAAGTAGCTGGGACTACAGGCACCAAACACAATGCCCGACTATTTTTTGGTTGTAGTTGTCATTGTTGTTTGGCAGGCCTGGATTTGAACCTGCCAGCTCTAGTGTATGTGGCTGGCCCACTGGTTGCTGAGCTACAGGTGCCAAGCCTGGACAAACTATTTCTCAGAGGATTTCTTTAGATGTTTAGAATGATGAAAAATGCCCAGTAATAATTTAATGGGTTTTTTGTGTGTTTCAATTCTTTAAAAATGACTTTATATATCATGTCTCCTTTAACAGTAGAATTAATGCAGAGCATAAAACTGAGAGTGTAAGTAGGGCATATGCCTACAAAAAATTCAGGTTTTGTGTAAAACTAAGATGTTCCATAATGATAACTATTTAAACTCCCTATATTTGTCTAAGGAAAAAAGAAACAACTATAAGGTCATATGTCAATGACCTCAATCAATATTAGGAGTAAATGTGATGTGAATATGTAGTTGCACCTAAAAAACATTACAAACCAAATACAATATCTTTTACTAGTGGGTTCTTATAAAATGATGTTTTGGGAATATGAACTTTGCAATAGAATACCAACTTAAAAATAACAAAAGGAGAATATGGAGCTATATAAAGAGTTCCATTTGAATTTTATAGGTAATATTTTATAAATGTAATACTGAACTTTAAAAACTAATTTGTCATACTAACTCGATTGCACTGTAGTTTAATCTAATTTAGTTATTTTTCACAACATTTTAAGTTGACATCTTGAAAATAAACTAGTAGAATATTAAAGCGTTCTGTACGTATTAAGGTATTGGTATTTGGCCACATTATTTCATGCTTGTGGTAGAGATCAACAGTAAGCCAGAGAATACAGATATGCCTAATGCTTTGAACCTTTAAATACATATTCCATGAGCCAAAAGACACTTTATACATACAAAGGGTTCTAAAATTATGTATACAATTTTAAGACAGGAAAAATTTATTTTATACAATGAATATATTGATTATGTTGTATTTAATAGAATTAATAGAATAATCTAGAACTAGACACTCAACACCTACCTTTGTAGTTTTTGGTGTCCTCTTAGAATAAGAATGTTTGTGGGGAAATTAGAGATCAGACACGCTGAACACCACTCCCCCCAAGAGAAAAACGTCCAAGAGCAAAATAGAGCTTAGGAATTTGAGCAAAGAAACTGCAGCTTAGCTTTAATATTTCAATTGATTTTTAATAAAAGTAGCTTTGCTGACTAATAACAAGTCTGTGCAATTCTTGCCGAAAACAGGTTTCAGGAAGCAAACATGTTGCCTGCTTAAAGGTTAATGGTCCAGGCTCGGCGCCTGTGGCTCAAGCGGCTAAGGCGCCAGCCACATACAACTAAGGTGGCGGGTTCGAATCCCCAGCCCGGGCCTGCCAAACAACAATGATGGCTGCAACCAAATGGCCCGGCGTTGTGGCGGGCGCCTGTGGTCCCAGCTGCTTGGGAGGCTGAGGCAGGAGACTCGCTTGAGCCCAGGAGTTGGAGGTTGCTGTGAGCGTGATGCCATGGCACTCTACCCAGGGGTATAGTTTGAGGCTCCGTCTCAAAAAAAAAAAAAAAAAAAAGGTTAATGGTCCAGGCACATTGGAATGCGTATTGTGTACTGCAGCAGGCAAGGCCTGACAGATAATTTATCAAGCCTGGGGGCTACAGCTCTCCCTAAAAAGGAATAAAGCTCCAGCCCTGAAGGGGCTTCCTGGAACGCAGAAACCGTAGAAGAGAGGTGGGTATCACAAAAGTCACTGGGAACAGTGTGCACGACCCAAACCCGCTCTGGGGCAGAGATGAGGAGTTCTTTCTCTCCCAGCTTTCAATGTGGGCATTGGCATTAGCCTGTTTGCCCCACAAGGGCAAACAAGGGGTCTACCAGCCTTTTTGGACCCCCAAAGAGCTAGGCCAACCAAGCAGATGTGGCCACATTCTGTTTGCCTTAAGGCTATGGTCCTTGTTTCTCAAGAAAACAGAAACTAAGTATAGTTAACTTTATCAACTAAGGAAGAGGAGAATTCAATTGCTAATCCATTACGCAAATAGCCCACAGGCCGATCTTTGCTAAATTCCCCATTAGCTCATAGATCCTCCCACCTAAAATTAGAATTGTAAAAACTCAATACAAGCGGAGTGTTGAAAGTACAGGGGCCATTTTATTCTCACCACGATCTCTGGAGGATCCCTTGACCCACCTTTAAGCCTTTTCTCTCTATTTTGTTTCTTTATTTTCCATGTTCGGTGGGTTCCACTTTATTTAGCACGTACCCCACGATCCTGGCGAGGGGCCGGTCCCCCACATCTGGTGCTCAACGAGTGATCTGCTACGGTAAGTGGAACAAGAGTCCAGCGACTCCCGAAAACGGCTTTTTCAGCTCTTCGTGAGTAGGAGAGTTTGGAAGAATTCTGGGGTAACTACGGGACAGTCCCACTCTAAATATTTCCCAAATTTGGATGTTGTTCGGTTGCTTTCAGACCGGAAGCAGGAGTGTCTGTTAATACTCGGAATTAAATTTCTTTGTTTGAAACAGTAGACAAATTTTCTCCGTGGTTTCATCAACACGGCACATTGGACATAGCTAATTGGGAGAGAATTGGCAAGGATTTAATTAAAGCTTAAAAGGCAGGACACGTAGTGCCAGTAACAATTTGGTCAGTTTGGTCAGCGGTCAGAGCTGTTTTAATGCCGCCACCAAAATTGGTTGATCTGCTAACACAGCCTGAACCTAAATATGCTGAACCCTGTGTTGAAAGCAACCCGCCTGTAGTCGATGATATGTTGAGTGATACCTTCAGTGAGAATTCTGGGGAAGGACTTAATGAACCTGCAGAAACTGCAGGCGTGCTTCCACCTGCAAAACCTTCGCTACTGCAGCTTTCTGCTGAGCATTCATTAGTAGATTTTGATACTGACCCCTTGATTCCAGCACTGGCTCCCACAGTGCTAATAAATCCTCCCCCTGCTTGTTTTCGCGGGAGCAGACTGGTTTCGCTTTCACAGCGACAAGTGGTCCGCGCAGACGCATTACCCCCTCACACTAACTCGCATTTCTGCTTTCAGAATGCCCTAAACCTCTCATCCCTTAAGTCTAGAGTCTCTTGCTGTCGCTGCTGCTACCGTAATTAGCGACTGCACGCAAGTAGTTGCAAAACGCGGTACCGGCAATAAATAGATTATTTCATCTCAACCCGCACTGGATGGAGTTCCTTTAAGGACTACTCCGGCTAGTCAAAGAATCACAGCTCCATCTAGTGGTCAGATTTGTAAATCCACTAATCCCGTTGAAAATTTTGATTCTTATATGAGTAGAGGCATCAAAGAGGCTAGAGGGAGAGGGGATCCAGAGGCTGGGAATTTTCCCGTTGTTATTCTTCTCCCTCCTACCCACCCCTAGTCTGAGGCTGATGACCAATAACAAGGGTCTAGAAGAGCGATTTTTGAAAGTTTCCCTTTTGAATTACTAAAAGATCTTAAGGCAGTAGTTCAACAATATGGTCCTACTTCCCGTTTTGTCAAAACTACTCTGCAGTCAATGACCAAGGACAAGCAGTTAATTTCTTTTGATTGGGAGATTCTAGCAAAGGTATGTTTAAGCAAATCTCAATATGTGCAATTTAAGACATGTTGGTCAGATGCCGTTCAGGAGCAGGTCAGGAACAATTGCCAACATAATATCTGCATTATCACTGATCAGTTAATGGGCACTGGAGATATGAAAGCACAAATTTGCAAACTAGTTTGTCGGATGAGGCTGTACAGCAACTACGTTGTAGCGATTTAAAGGCGTGGAGCAAAATCCAAAATGAGTAAATCCTTGTGCCTCATTCACTGAGGTAAAGCAGAAGGCCAATGAGCCTTACGCAGCTTTTATCGCCGTCCTACAAGACTTTGGCTGAGAAGTCTCTGCTGGATGAAAACAACAGAAGGATACTTCTAGAACTTATGGCTTATGAACAAGCTAATCAGGAATGTCGAAGAGCCATAAGACTGATTAGAAATAAGGTCCCTCAGGGAGGTGACAAGATTTCAGCATATATTAGT